CAGTAAGCAGCAGAAATATCTGTGCTCCGAACACAGCAAACATCCCATAATGATACTGTGCGGGCGCCTGCTCAGCTCAGAAGCTTACAAGGACCAGAGTAAGACACATTGGGGTCTAAACCCAGCAGCCTCGTGATTGTCCAGGAGGAAAAATATTAACTGGGGCTGCAAGGGGGTCTGCAAACCCAGGGTGGGTATGGACCTCTCCTGAGTTACGTTGCCTGATGTGCTGCTTCCCAGCGCGAATGCGGAGTTTGCAGCGAAGCACCAAAATGGATTTTTCCCATGGAAACTTGTTCATCCGTAAGGCTGCGAATGTGTCTCCCATGTGCAGGTCCCCTCTGCCGTGATTGCGGTACTCATCTTACTCCTGAACATTTGCTGAAAAGCTCCACGGGGAGCGGCTGGCTCTGTACGCTCCGGGCAGAGAAGGCTTTGACGTCTCTTTTCCCCAAAAAGTTGGAACTGCAGCTTCCTTCACCAAAGCACAGCCACGGGGCTCCTCCGAGCCCGTCACTACAACGTGCCGAGCAGGCACGCTGCTCTGCGGCCAGCAGCCTTCCCTCAGCTCCCTCCCTCCCCCTCCAGCTTTATTTGTTTATTATTTTCCTCTCCTTCACAGAGCTGTCCTGCATTTCTCCTGCTTCGCCCTCCTCCTCCATCCCCATCCCGTGCTTCGCCTATTGGTCGCGGGGGCTGCGCTCAGGGGGAGCCCTGTGATTTTCTATATAACCAACCGCGACATTCAGAGAGACCTCAGCAAGTCACGAGAGGCAAGAAACATTCTCCCGAGCACGAGCCCACGCGCAAAAGCAAACTCCAGGATCTACAGCGCTGCAGTTCTCCCAGGGCCCGTGCAGTGGGAAGGAGCCGTGAGAGGGAAAGAAACTGATCCCAGGAGCATCCAAAGTTCGTGGTTACGAAGAAGGTAACTTAACTCCGATGAAAAGCTTTGCTGTTCCATGCGCTAATTTGCAAACGAAATTATTTCCTCCTTCGGGGTGAGTTTTTGCACGTTTTTCAGATCCCCCCACCGGCCCCTGCTCTGGGGGAGGCGTTGAAGGGACCACGGTGCCTGAGCGAGGTCTCGCAGGTGGGCAGGGAGAGGGTGCACGAGAAGGAACCCAGCACACCTCTGGGGAAAAGGTCCGTCTGCTTATGGACCAGGTTGGGTTCAGGTCAGGGAAGCAGCTGGAGATGTGGTGTTACCATCTGCCTTTCTCCCTCTTTTCCCCCAACCACGGCATTTTTGCTGCCAGACATGTTTTTCCACAGAAAAGGTTCACGTTTGGCAAGGTTAGTCTGGCAGAGGAGCGCAAGCGGAGCTGCTCTCGGAGGCAGCCTGCCCAGCTACAGGCAGGACAGCGGGCAGCGTGCCGCGGCACGAGAGGCTGCCCTGGGATGAGGACTCCAGCTGGGATGCGGTCGGCTCTCCTGGGTGAGAGGAATCCTCAGCCCCCCCCCAGCCCGCGCGTGGCACCTTTCAGATGGGAGCAGGCTGTGCGGGGTTTTCAGTCTCGTCTCCTCCCTGGGAACCATTCTCTGATGTCCGGAGACATCAGACATTCTCTGTCTCCAGGGGTTTCAGCTGCCATTTGGACTGAGCACAGTGTAAAGGGCAGTTCCACCTCCATGCCTCTAAGCTATGTGCTGACAGAGGAGCCCCAGCCAGGTGGGATGGGGACGGCTCCTTCGGGCACCAAGTCACATCCCCAGATGATCAGCAACATGAGCAAAGCTCAGAGGATTTTTGGGTCCAGCGATACTGCCTTTGGCTTCACATCCGCTGGGCACCGAACAAGCTCCTTGACCCTCCCGTGCCTCAGTTTCCCCCACGAGTGATAAAGAGTTATGCTTTCAAGCACTCTGAGATGCGAGAGGCAGCACGGAGGGCAAGAAGTAAACGGGCCGTTGGACAGGAGAAAACAATGCTTCTCTTTTAGTAAATTGCTGGATTTTAAGGCAAGAAGCAGGAGAAGTGCTTTTCTTTCTTCAGTGCTTTGCAGCTGTGCGCTGGAGGGGACGGTCAGGATGGAGTGAGCCGTGTCCTGTGATACTTACTCACATGAGCTCCTCTGCCAAATCCCCAGGGGCTGAACAGCCACGCCAGGCTCCGCAGTCCTGCATCGGCCGGGGAGGGACACACGGACCCACAGATCGGGGCAGCTGCAGAGGGCACAGGACACAGCTTCCCAGGGATGCTCTGGTTCCCTTCCCTCCAAGCCCCCAGACAGCCCCGAGTGGCAGATACTTGTCTGCACCATCCAGAGCTGCTCCCTCTGAGCTGCCCAGCCTCTCATGGATCCCAGGCAGGAATTCGGAGCTGGGGCTGCTCTCTCCTATGAGCCCCAATGCTGTGGGCGTAGTGGGGAGGAGAGGAGGGGGTTGGTCAGGGCACCCACCAGGAGACAGCTACCCCCCGTGTGGCCTGGGGCAGGATGGAGAGCTGAGGACCTTTAGCAAGGGTGCAGGGTAAAGTCCTGGACCAAGTCAGAGCAGGGATTTGTGCCCAGGTCTCCACTGAGTCGCGTGTGTGGTCCCTTCCGGTTAATTATCCATTCTCTCCCACGTTTTCTTAACCCACTTCCCATCATAGCTGGGTGCCCTGAGCAGGAGTCACAGCTGAGAACAACATCAAAACAGGTCAGAGCAAAGTCCAACCTGGCCAGGTGTCTCCAGGACAGCGGTTGGAGCAGATGCTTAGGTAAATGTCAAGAAGGAGGTGGTGGCGGAGAAAATTCTCCAGTCACAAGGTCCCGGATTTGGCAATGAGCTGATTAGGGATGTGCTGAGACCAGGGATGGTACCAGGACTTTTGTAGCCACCAAGGACCAAGACTGTTCCAGCAAGCAGGTGGGAACATTCCTCTCCACACACTGACTGGTGACAACTTTATAAGTCCTCAGCTTTGAGCAACGCCATGGGCTGAGGGTTTCCCCAGTTTTCAGATCCCGTACAGCTGCAGATACCCCTCGGTGATGGGATACCTACGCGCCTCTGAGAGCAGGACCAGATATGTGCTATTTCCCAGCCATCGTATGGAGACTCTTCTCTAAATGCTCTTCAGGTCATTCAAAACTGCTCTTTTTTTCTCAGCCAGAAATGCCTGTTCTGGCTCGCAGTGATGCAGTTTATCTGCAAGATAAGTTTGCAAAGCTGTTTGAGTCCGCACAGATAAAAGGCACAGAGAACACACAAGATTGCGAAGCACCAGGCATGAATATTTTAGCAGATAGAAGCATGCCTATTGTGAGCTGAAAAGTGATGGGATCTTTAACTTTCCTGTGGTGAAATCGTATCTAAGGTGCAGTTATGAGGATTCAAACTGGAAAAGAAACATGTTTAAAACCTGGTTGTTTTAACAGAACTGAAAACTTAACTCTCTAGTTCATGAGGTCTAAACTGTGATTGAAGGGATTCGGTTATTTTTGGTTATTTTCGACACATAACGGGGAGTAAGTTTTAGGCTTCCTCCTAACACTGCTTGTTTACAGTTTAAAGTACTAAGGACGTGACCGAAGGACATAAGAGGGTCGGGAAGGACTAAGTCTGGTGTAGATTCTCTGGCAAGAGCAGTAGGATGAAACTGAGGAAAGGGCAGATCTGGCAAGGCTGGTTTGTTGGGAACG